ATATAAGCTCTTTATTTTATCTTTGTTTTCATTATTCAGCGACGTATACCTCTTCCCGAAACCCCACGCAACCTTGTACTTTTCAAATCACTATCCTGCTCTTAAACAAAGATGTTAATTCATACGATAAAAACAACATAATCAAAATGAAATCACTTCCGCATAACTAACTGTCAAATCCCAGATTAAAAAACTAACATTATTGTATGTTTGGCATGTAGCAGATTACATTAAAATCGGCCAGAGAAAAGACCAAACCCGAAAGAATTTTGTTCCAACTCTGATTATGTTGAATGCAACATATGTGGTAAAAGGGCTATTATAACGTGCTCGTGGTGCAAAAAATCATTGTATTCAACCTATTTCTTTAACGGTTATCATCATTGTAAATCATATAATAAGTAATTTTATTATAATAAGTAACAATTTTTACGCAATATAACATACAGATTTTACATAAGAATTAAATCAAATACATACAAATCAACAAAAACAATTCGTACAGTTCAAGGTATAATGTTTTTTTAATAACATTTGTTGGATATAACATTAATATTTATAATTTTCAGCTTTACATCAGCTTTAAAATTATTTTTAGAAGGAGAAGTAGAAGTTTAAAAAATAAGATGCAAATAATAACGTTATAAATGTAGTTTTTATTCTAACACAAATGTTAAAAGATTTTAACCAAAAAAAAAAATTACTAACTAATGACGAAGAATAACTTGTAGCAGTGGTATTGTTTAATATTATTCAAAGTTCTGTAGAAGTAAGAGGTAAAGATGATAAAATGGATGAGTCATTGCAATATGATGATAATTTTATACCATCTGATGATATTCCTATGGATTATGAGTCTGAAAATGGCATTGACGATGAAGATATATGTAAAATAGATGACCAATGTGTAGAAAAACAAATAACGGATTTGGACTAAAAAAAACTGTGGAATTTAGGAGAAGTGGTAATAAAAGAAAAAGTTTTGATACGGTTCAACACCGATTCAAAAAACTGAAAACATCGAAACAACTGTATAGATAAAAAGACGAAATTAATGCAAATGGCAATAGAATAGATTATTCAAGGATAATTAAAAAAGAATGTTTGGAGAAATTGAATGCAGAGAGATAATAGAGTTGCTGTTCATGACATTGATGTTTGATGATTTGCTATAGAAGCAGCTTAAAAAACGATAATAACAATAATATTTTAAAGCATCGAAAAAGTGGCTACAGCAATTTCAACATCGATATAATAGTGTCACGGAAGATTACTTAAGTAATAATGAAAAAAGCTCTTCATAGTACACAAAGTTTTTGAGATAAAAAGAAGCATTTCGTATAGCTGTTAAAAATGTCATGAAAAAATATGGTTCAAAGCCAGTATACAATTCAGACTAAAGTGGATTCAATTATGAAATACATAGTGGCCGTACACTTAATGATGCAGGAGAAAAACATATAGAAGAAATCCTTCAATCAATACATTCAACAACCCACTTCTACACAATTCAATCAGTTGTATTGGCTGAAGGAGAACTTATATCACCTATTATGTTAGTTTTGCAAGAAACAAATGGGGAATTCGGACCAATTGTAAAATGTAATTTATTTCTACCTGAGAATGTGCATGTAATAGCTTTAAAATCTGGTAAATTAAGTGAGAAATATTTAAAAATTTGGACCAGAAATGTATTGGGGGGTACAACCACACATATGCGGTACCTCGCAGACGCAGGGCCGCACAATAAAGCGAGGAATTTTAGGTCGCATGGAAGGGAGAATTGCGCGGTTGGGGGAATGGCAGGGTATTGCGAGGAAGAGACGCGTATCAAAAGTCGTAATGAGTTTAGTTTTTCCTTGGAATATCGTGGTAAGAGTGTCAACGATCAAGGAAATCACGCTCAACCTGTTGCCGCGTGGTACAATTTAAGATCCACGAGGCAGAGTCGGTGAGGCATCTTTTTTCTCTTACTTCAGATTTTCAAATTAGTCGTAAGTAATACGAAGTCATTGCATTGGATTTTGAGATTTTGGCCAGCAGACTACTTAACAAGGTAGTTTCTCGTCACTGAGATAGTCAAACCCTTGCAGTGGTCTCAACGACGTACCTTAACTCAATTGAGGGTGTCTCGCTTTGATCTTTAACTTTTCAATATCTTTATTTGCCCTTCGCGAATCTGGTGGTCATCGTATTTCCGGGCGTATATATTGGGATTCCCGTAAAGACGGTAAAGTTTTGCTGTCCAACTCTTTTTTAATTCGAATCCACCGGAAAGGCCATTTGCTTCATGTTTAATAATTTTTGCTATAAGCTACACACAATAAAGCAATTAGTCATTATCTTAGGCAATTCTGTATAAAGCATGAAATCTCTTTATTTCGTTTTATTATTCATTGATTATATAATTAGAGAATGTGTGGCACACAAGAGATTGCTAAAGACAGAGGAGCCATTTTATTTTGTCTTGCGTATTTGCCTCATGTCGTATTTGAGTGAGAGTCGATACGAAATTTTAAGATCTTGATTGATTCAAGTTTTTTTCATTAATTATTTTATTGANCGACCTAAAAAAATAAACTGATATAAAAAGCTAATAATATTTGAATGTTTTAGGAAGACATATCGTCCGAGCACAATCTATATTCGTTAACCTGTTGAAAGTTTTAGAAGGAATTTAGTTCAAATAATATTAGAACCTCTTAACTAAATTTAAATTTTTTCTAGCATGTAAAAATAACACCTAAACACGGTACTACAATTATCGTTAACGAAAAGGTGATAATACAGCCAATATAACTAAAAATATTATAGCTAGAATTTTAAAATAATTGCACAAAATTTAAATTGCTGTAGAAGCATGACTACTTATGAAAAAGTTGTTGCATTCATCAAAAAAATTATTTTTTATTTGGTTATATTAACAGTGTAACAAAGAAAAATTCTAAGTTATAATACGTACAAAAAAATTTGAAGCTTTTGCAACTGCGGGTAAAAGATTAGGGAACCAATAATAATTCAAAATATTGGATGCATGTGACATACTACAAATTGTTATAAATAGTCATGCTTATACACCAATTTTAATTTTGTGTAAAAAGTAAAAGTAGTTGACGACAAAATAAATTATTACATCACAACTAAAAGTATTCTTGAAAACACTAAATAATATATGCTTTTGATGTTGTAGGAAATACTAACGTAACTCACACACAAATACATGCTAAGCTGCTACGCATAAAAATTTGAGCTCACTGTAGATTTGTCAGTAATATAGAATATGATTTTAACTTTCGTTGAGATTTACTTAAGTAATAAGCTAAAGGTACGTTAACCATATACTCAAAACCATCACACCGTGGGACCAAACGCAGTTTTTTTTGTGTCAAAATAAAATAGCAGTAGCTGTGATAATCCAATCGAGATGATTCTTTTTGGAGCTTCAAGCTTAAACATTATAAAATATAGAAAAAATGGTCCAAGCTGAAATGGGCCAAGGTGTAACACCCCAAAGGCTCCCCCTACAGCATTTCCTTCAGAATATCAATTGATTTTGAAAGGTTACCATTTTTGTTATAAAAATAGTGATTATGTAGATTTAATGGGTTGCTGATCATAAATTTGGCATTGGCATCTGAAAATTCAAAATTGCGAATCCAATATGGCAGCCAAAAAAAAATTAAAAACTGTCTAAAATTTTACGAAAATTAGTAGATAGGAGTTTTTTGGGTTGCTGAACATGGGGTCGTTAAAGGCAAATTTTAAATGACAATTGTTGTTAAAAACATTTATTTTTAATTATTTAACAAATCAAAATTTTCATTATTTCATTATTTTGTACTTGTACATAAACTGAGAATCTTAAAAAAGCTGAGAATTGGAACGGTTGTTAAAAAAATTCATTTTATGAAATTCATACAGTCATTTTTTAAATCTTTTTACAAGTCATGTTAATTACTAAAAATTAAATTATTTAGTATTAATTGTACTTAAACATTCACATGATCATAACTGTATAAGCCAGTTGTACACAAACGGCGCAGGGAGTGGAGACTAATATAGATGTATTCACGTTTTTTCTTATTTTAAAACTTGATTATACGAAAAAATTTTTGTAAAAAGCATGATTTCGAATTTGCATTTTTCTTTGCAATCCTTTACTTCTCAAAAAAAATTTTCAAACAGAAAAAAGCAGTTTAAATAATAATAAAAAAAGCTTTTTTTCTTCTGTAGATGTATAAAACTAGAGTTCTGTATTCAAATAATCGTGAAAAAGTGAGACAAGATGTAATTTTTTGGAAGTAAGTTCATTCCATTTGTTTCTTGAAATTATGTTAAACCTCAAAATATCCTGAGATGAGTTTTGTCTATGCTTGTTATGTAGGTAAAGGCAGTGTAAAAGTACGTTTGCATTATTATTTTGTATCAATACCCTTCAGTTCAATCTAATGAAAATAATTTTTTGTAAGAGTAAATCTGATTGGGATCGCATGAACTATCTTAAGCTATTACCTTACCAGTTAAAGTAAGTACAATTTATGACAGCTAAGAAAATGTGCTGCTTTTTATAAAAGTACACAATCAAATTACAATAAAAAAAACGTAGTTTTATGAAGAATTTTTCAAAATTTTTATAGATCCTGTCAACAATCACTTCAAGCATCAACCATCTTTAATTAAGCAAGAGCTGCATCGCTACTGAACTTTGTGGCAACTTTTAATAATTAATAAATCTTAATAAAAGATTAGATGAGTAAATTATATTGGTTTTTAGAAAATTCGTACACGCGTTAAACTATTGATCAAAATAACTATAAGGTAACATATACATTTTTTTCTTCTTTGTTAACGAAGATAATTTTTTTGAAAAAAGATCTTGAAAAAAATGCTAGTTTTAGTACTTTAGAGTGTAATGTTAGAGGTAAGCTCTCAATGATTAATGCTCTTGATAAAAAAAAAAAGAAATAAAAGGGTATATTTCAGACATATATATGTATTACCTTATAAAGTGAGAGGCTTCCACAATATCTAGTCTCCCCAGTCCTGCAATAAATATTGTCTGGTCGGCCCACATGCAAAATGTTCGTGGGGAAATAATTTTACCAGGTAGTGTTTTAGTAAGCTCATTAGTTGTTAATATATTAAGAATTTGATCGTCGTTGATAGTTCCTGGTGTATCGTAACACCAATGACCATATCTATATTCATCTGACATATCATTTAACCCAATTTTTGTCTTTGACGTAATAGTTGGAACATCCTTCGACATCAATTGATTAATAACTTCAGTCTTTTCCTTCCTTTTTTTAAAAGTATGAGTAACACGACCTAAAAAAATAAACTGATATAAAAAGCTAATAATATTTGAATGTTTTAGGAAGACATATCGTCCGAGCACAATCTATATTCGTTAACCTGTTGAAAGTTTTAGAAGGAATTTAGTTCAAATAATATTAGAACCTCTTAACTAAATTTAAATTTTTTCTAGCATGTAAAAATAACACCTAAACACGGTACTACAATTATCGTTAACGAAAAGGTGATAATACAGCCAATATAACTAAAAATATTATAGCTAGAATTTTAAAATAATTGCACAAAATTTAAATTGCTGTAGAAGCATGACATAAAAATTTCGGTAAAAATAAGAAAAGCAAACTATATTTTTTTATTGCTTGGAGTATTAAAAATAATATTATTCTTATTTATTTTTTGTTATGTTTAATGACCACTGTATTAGTTCTCAATTTATACAAAGAATATAAGCTCTTTATTTTATCTTTGTTTTCATTATTCAGCGACGTATACCTCTTCCCGAAACCCCACGCAACCTTGTACTTTTCAAATCACTATCCTGCTCTTAAACAAAGATGTTAATTCATACGATAAAAACAACATAATCAAAATGAAATCACTTCCGCATAACTAACTGTCAAATCCCAGATTAAAAAACTAACATTATTGTATGTTTGGCATGTAGCAGATTACATTAAAATCGGCCAGAGAAAAGACCAAACCCGAAAGAATTTTGTTCCAACTCTGATTATGTTGAATGCAACATATGTGGTAAAAGGGCTATTATAACGTGCTCGTGGTGCAAAAAATCATTGTATTCAACCTATTTCTTTAACGGTTATCATCATTGTAAATCATATAATAAGTAATTTTATTATAATAAGTAACAATTTTTACGCAATATAACATACAGATTTTACATAAGAATTAAATCAAATACATACAAATCAACAAAAACAATTCGTACAGTTCAAGGTATAATGTTTTTTTAATAACATTTGTTGGATATAATTAATACATACAATTAAATAATAGTAGGTAAACGGAGGGGAGTTCAGAGGGTGGATCAGGGGGGCCTTAAAACTATGAGCAGGGTTAAGGGGTGCGAGGAGGGGTGAGGGGTCTGGAATAAATAGGATATTTTTTATTGGGTTGAAATAAGGGAGAAATATTAAAATTTTTATCTTATTTTGAGAGGGGGGGGGGGCTCGAAAAATATTCTAAAATTTTGAGGGGAGGGTACTTCCCGGGCACTTGGCGG